ATAATGAAGGTATTGGTGGTGTGCTCACTTTTCACGAAGAGAATTTCACCGAAAGAGATGAGCATGTGTTTGAAGATACATAAGTAATACCACCAGTTGACTATCAGCCATGGGATTATGGTGTAAATTCGGTTTTTGGTCAAGAATTTACCACCAAGGAGGCAGCAAAAGTTCATATCCAGATGGCTTCACATCAAAATTGTTTTGAGTTTGCTATAATTAAGTCGGATACTAAGAGATTTGTGATTAAATGTCAAGGATCCAAAGAAGGTTGCAAGTGGATTGTGTGAATTGCAAAGTTAGAGAGTTAGATATTACATCAAGCCGCATACATGTTTTGTTGTTACTACAAGAACACTTCATGATAGAAGGAAAGGCACACCACATATTGTTGCATATTTTTTTGGCTTAAGATGATCATGGTACGGTCACTAGTTCGATTTCAGATATCAAACATTCGACCACAAAAACATTAACTCTAAATCATAGTCATACTCGGACTCTCCTCACTAAACTAATATCAAAACCAAATTCACTTTCAATCTCAATAACCTAAAAATCCAACATTCTCTCAAATTGAATACATACACGATACATATATATTTGCTCCCTAATTCATAGTTTCAGTTTTAACAAGACATCTCACCAATTATATTCAACTTATCCAAATAAAAAAACCCACAAAATCGCAACAGTTTGGTCCAAAATAAGAGTCCAAAATACTTTTCTATCTTAATATACCAAATCTAAGATTTTACCGTGTTTTCACCCAATTTTGTAGCACAAACTCGCTTACTAAAAACAATATTTTAGTTTCGTCTACAACTTAGAAGTTTTTCCTAATTTTTTATCTAACCTAAATACAATATATGATGAAATCCAACAGAATAAATCACTTACCAAGATGAAGGATGTCGATCTCTTGTCGATTTGGAAGATGGGGACTCGGTTATTACAGAGAAAGAAGAAGAAACGAAGAGGACACAGATTTTTAGGGTTTGTCACCATTTCTATCACGAGAGAAAGAGAAGGAGGAGAGTCAACTTGACAAAAATGAGAGGAAGAATTGAAACGCAACATTTAAGTTTAGGATCCCGTTGGGATTTGGATTGGTTTGGATGGGTGGGCTTTTTGTAGTCGGATTAAGTAATTAGACAATTTTGTTAAAGATATTGTTGTCTTTAGCAACTTTTCATTTAAAAAATAAAAATAGGGCAATCGACCAAAATGGTACTGAAGTTTTTATCTCAAAAACGGCACCAGGAAGAGAAAGTCACAAAAATGACATTCATTAAAAGGTAAAATATCTCTATTTCCCTTTTGTTATAATTAATAAAAGAAATAAGTTTTTAAAAAAGTAAAAGACATCAGAATTCACCGACGGTTCTGACCGTCGACGAATAGCCACCGTTTGCAAACGAGAGAGCATCGTTTCCAATCTCCAGCTCCGGGGTACTGAAACACGTGAGCTAAGCGCTCGTCTGGTAGATCTGAAGTGAAATCACGATCTCTAATTCCAGAATCGACGATTCTCCTCCTCCACCACCGGCAACGATGATCATCGGAGATACATAGCATAGGCATAGATCTATCTCCCTTTCGTTAGATTCCGCCGTAGACGACGACGTTTGGCCCATTCTCATAGGAGGCTATTTTGACCTTTTAGTGTATGAAACATTTTGAACTTACAGAGATATGGTATGTATATACAGATCCGTAGAAATATTTCCATATTATTATTAGGTTAAGAATTAGCTTCAACCTATATAAGAAGTTGCAGAGATGTTGTATCCCTTAAGAGAAACACAATGATTTAGTTTTGAAAGAGTTTCTAAATCTAATCTGAAGAGTAGTTCTTATAATTTTGTGATTTTGCAACTTTAATTGGTATCAGAGCCTTCAGGTTTCAAAATCATTTACAAGAGGAGTTGTAATTCGATCAAAACATGGGACGATATTGCTTCTCAAATACGTGATAAAGGTATTGAGATGAAGAATGACACACGATGTCTGATGCTAACATCGACCAACTACACCATATGGTCGATAAGAATGAAAGTTATGCTTCGTTTGGGATACTATCAAATCAGGGAACATCGATTTAAAGAAGAACAATGATGCGATTGTTCTAATCTTTAAGTCGATTCCGGAAGCGTTGATTCTTCAAATTAGAGAGCACTATACATCAAAGACGATTTGGGATGCTATCAAATCTTGTAACCTAGGTGATGATCGCGTGAGAGAAGCGAGGTTACAGACCTTGATGTCTGAGTTCGATAAACTGAAGATGACAGGTGAAGATATGGTGGATGATTATGCAGGAAAACTATCGGGTCTAGCATCAAAGTCAGCCGCGTTAGGTAAAATCATGGATGTACCAAGGCTGGTAAAGAAGTTTTTAGAAGGACTTCCTACAAACAAATTCATACACATCGTAGCTTCTCTAGAACAACTACTTGATCTAAATTCAGCAAGCTTCGAAGATATTGTTGGGAGAATAAAGACTTTCGAAGAGCGCATCAAACAACAAACCCAAGATGAAAATCAATCAAGGCTAATGTTTGTAAAGAATGATACGCAAGGTCGTGGAAGCCATAACAACTCGCGAGGAAGAGGCAAAGGTAGGGGTTATGGTGGAAGAGGAAGAGGGATGTGGAAGGTCTAATGCTTCTAATGGTCATAACAAAGGAGGTGAAGCTTCGAACAAGACTAAGAAGGACTACTCTTATTAATAATAATTCTAATGATAACACTATTATATTTTCAGAAAAATGCAAAATCCACATTCCACAACCATTTTTTTTATTATGGGAGATAATATAATAAGGGTGGGGCTGAAATAAAATGGATCTCGGCAGATGGTGAGGGAGAAGATGAAATTCACACGATTGTGTTGAAGACATCAGTGGAGAAGTTCACTTACTCTGGTTTAGTTGAGCGTATTTGCAGAAAGATAAAAGTAGATGAATCTAAAGTCGAAGTGAAGATTATTTACTTTCCAATGGTATTGTATTCATACAATTCATCATATATTTGGAATGATGAAGACGTTTTTGGTTATCTACTGCAAATAAATCATGAGAAGTGTAGAAGTGTTCTAAATGTGAAGTTCATCAATGAAGAAATGCAACTATAAGAAGGGATGATGAAACTGATGTCTATGTCGGTCTATCTGATAGAGAGGCTATAAAGGCTGATGGTGAAGACAGTACTGAGAATGATAAAACTGATGTCTATGTCGGTCTATTTAATAGAGAGGGTATAAAGGTTGATGATGAAGATGCTACTGGTGGTGTGCTCACTTTTCACGAAGACATTGAGATGCTTGATGGTGTCAGTCAGCCACATGATGATGGTATGGATTTAGTTATAGGTCAAGAATTTGGACCAAGGAGGTAGCAAAAGTTCTTATTCAGGTGACTTCATATCAGAATGCTTTGAGTTTGATATAATTAAGTCGGTTACTAAGAGATTTGTGGTTAAATGCAAAGGAGACAAAGATGGTTGCAAGTGGTTTGTGCGAGTTGCAAAGTTAAAGAATTCAGATATTTGAACGGTTAGAAGTTACATCAAGCAGCATACATGTTCTGTTGTTTCAAGAACATTGCCTGGTGGAGAGACTGGTGATGAGGATGGTACTGAGAATAATGCAACTGATAATGAAGGCTTTGGTGGTGTGCTTACTTTTCACGAAGAGAATGTCGCCGAAAGAGATTAGCATGTGTTTGAAGATACAGAAGAAATGCCACCAGTTTACTATCAGCCATGGGATTATGGTGCAAATTTGGTTTTTGGGCAAGAATTTACCACCAAGGAGGCAGCAAAAGTTCATATTCAGATGGCTTCACATCAAAATTGTTTTGAGTTTGCTATAATTAAGTCAGATACTAAGAGATTTGTGATTAAATGTCGAGGAGCCAAAGAAGGTTGCAAGTGGATTGTGTGAATTGCAAAGTTAGAGAGTTAGATATTACATCAAGCAGCATACATGTTTTGTTGTTACTACAAGAACACTGCATGATAGAAGGAAAGGCACACCACATATTGTTGCATATGTTTTGGCTTAAGATGATCATGGTACGGTCACCAGTTCGATTTCAGATATCAAACATTCGACCACAAAAACATTTACTCTAAATCATAGTCATACTCGGACTCTCCTCACTACACTAATATCAAAACAAATTCACTTTCAATCTCAATAACCTAAAAATCCAACATTCTCTCCAATTGAATACATACACGATTCATATACATTTGCTCCCTAATTCATAATTTATGTTTCAACAAGACATCTCACCAGTTATATTCAACTTATCCAATAAAAACCCCCTCAAAATCACAACAGTTTCGTCTAAAATAAGAGTCCAAAATACTTTTTTTTATCATAATATAAACCAAATCTAAGATTTTACCGTGTTTTCACCCAATTTCGTAGCACAAACTAGCTTACTAAAAACAATATTTTAGTTTCCTCTACAACTTAGAAGTTTTTCCTAATTTTTATCTAACCTAAATACAATATACGATTAAATTCAACAGAATAAATCACTTACCAAGATGAAGGATGTCAATCTCTTGTCGATTTGGAAGATGGGGACTCGGTTATTACAGAGAAAGAAGAAGAAACGAAGAGGACAAAGATTTTTAGGATTTGTCACCTCTTCTGTCACGAGAGAAAGAGAAGGAGGAGAGTCAACTTGACAAAAAATAGAGGAAGAAATGAAACGTAACATTTAAGTTTAGGATCCAGTTGGGATTTGGATTGGTTTAGATGGGTGGGCTTTCTGTAGTCGGATTAAGTAATTAGGCGATTTTGTTAAAGATATTGTTGTCTTTAACCGCTTTTTATTTAAAAAATAAAAATATGTGTATTTTATTAAGGTGAGAATAGAGAATTTTTAAATGGGGTATGATATATTTTGAGATATTCTCTTCACACATCTGATCGAAATTTTTTTAACAAGCATATCAAGTCATCAGATTCAAGTCGACTCACGATGGCTCAGAAGCAGGAAGCTAAAGGCGGCACTGGAGGCACTGAATGGGATGATGGCCACCATGAAGGTATATCACAGATCTATATAAGAGAGGGTCGTGAAGGCATAGAGTCCATCAAGTTTGATTATGTCAAGAAGGAAAAACTTAAAGCTGGAGCAATCCATGGTGGCTCGAGTCAACGTTTAACCGAGTGGGTACGTTTTCAAACTCTATTGCATATTATTTCATCGTGGATTCATCAAAGTTAGATCGCTTGTGGTGTGTTTGACTTTGACTTGATTTATTTCTTTGGATTACCGGTTCAGCGTGTACGAATGATACCTTCTGGTGAAATCTCCTTTAGGCTTGGTTACTTTTATCAAATTTGTTTTATACAATATGAACCCTATAATTTAATATTTAATAAATTTATTCCTACATAAATTAATAAACTGATTTATTTGTAATTTGAATTAACATAAGATATGAGATAGTTCTATAAAATAATAAAAAATGATTTATAATTTTTTAGATAAATATACAATCTCACTAAAATCGTAAATTAATAATTGATAGATATAAATTTCTATAAACACAAACAAAATATTAAAAAAATTATGCAAATAAAATTCATTTTTAACGTTTCTTCACATTTTACTTTTTTGGTGTTACTTTACCGGATTACATCTATAAATATGTTTATATAATATGATTATTAACCGGATTTTTCAATACAAAAATATAGGAAATAATATAAAAATATGTAGGCTAAAACCATAATTTTTTTAAAACATATATGATGCTGTGAAATAAAATATCATTAAGATATTTTAAAATATATAATTTTGTTATACTAACTCTATCAATTATTAAAATATTCTGTTTCTAATATTATATTATATGATTTTACAGTATATCCATGCATCAACCTGAATAGTTCTTAATGTGGATATAAAATATTTTGCAGTTTGATCTAAACCACACCATTGATGAACATATCGTATCTATCACGTGTTACTACGACGAGGGTGCCATACAAGGCCTGGTGATCAAAACCAATATCAGGGCTTCTGCACTCATGGGATATAACCTTGGTACTAAGTTTAAACTTGAAGTCAAAGGCAAGAAGATCATTGGGTTTCATGGATCTTCTGACAAAAACCTTCGCTCTCTAGGAGCTTATTTCGCACCGCTTACTCCTGCTGGAGGCAGCACTGGAGGCAGAGAATGGGATGATGGAGCTGATCATGAAGGCGTATCACAGATCTTTATACGTGGGGGTCGTGAAGGCATAGAGTCCATCAAGTTCGATTATATCAAGAACGGAGAACCTAAAGCTGGACAAATCCATGGTGATTCGGGTCAAGGTTTCACTGAGTGGGTACGTCTTAAGGCTCTTTTTCTTTGGATATATGTTTGTTATTAAATCTGGAGAGTTTTCATGTGGATATATACATTTTTCAGTTTGATCTTGACCCCATCACTGATGAACATATCCTATCTATAAAGTGTTACTACGACGAGGGTGCGATACATGGCCTTGTGATCAAAACCAACATGAGGAATTGTGGACTTATGGGATACAACGTGGGTACTAAGTTTAAACTCGAAGCTAAAGGAAAGAAGATAATTGGGTTTCATGGATCTTCTGACAAATACCTCCGCTTTCTAGGAGCTTATTTCGCTCCGCTTTCTCCTGATAATTTGGAAGACTAATATTTCCTGGGAGAACAACAGCTCCAACAGTTTGGTTTATGTTGCTTTGATTCTATACAATTTTAATGTGTTATGATCTTCCATCTTGTTTGGTGTGCCTTTCACTTGAAGCATGCTAATTGTCTTTCCATGAAAACCAACAATCCTGTGACCTTGCTTGTGGAATATGAAGCTTGCGATTGTATCAAGTTCAAAGGTTGTTTTTTTTATAAAGGGTTTTCATCAAAGGTTGGAGTTTCGCTTCTCGGTTTTGAACTTGACCATCACTAAACTTTGAAGAAAACAATTTATCAAAAAAAAAACCTTTACAATCTCAAGCTTCATATTCCTAGCCAATAAACTAATTTGGCTGGCTCGCTCCGTGCAAAAGATAAGAAGATGGAAGGATGACCTGAAATTGCTAGCCTGTCTTTAGGTTAGTTTAGATATTTGATTAAGTCCTCTGATGTAGCTCCAAAAATTACATTCTTCTGATGAATGCTAGGCATGTTTTTCAAAGCCCATTTCATAATTTTTTCACCTATTCTCTACAAACCATGACCGAACATGAGAATAAGATTGTTTGGTATGAAGTAAAAGCTTGAGATTAATTAAGATTCTTACTCCCTAGCAACACCTAGTTCTCATCACCAATGCCACTATAAGATGACTCATCTTTTGATGTCTCTGATGATGTCCACTTTCAGTAAGCTTGTTTAGTATGAAATAAACTCGTCTTGTTCATTCAAAAAAAAAACAAAAAAAAAACTCGTCTTGTTATTTTTGCTTTGTATCTGAAATTTTGGATGGTTCATGTTTCAGAAAGGATCAAACACATTGTTAGGACTAAGATGAGACATGAATTAAATATATGGTCAAATATGTATTGACTAAATATATTGTTCATACACATTTGAAAAACATGATTTTTTGAATTTTTTTGTGGCCACTGAATGCAAAAAAAAAAAAAACTAAAAACAAAAGTTAATATGAATATCTTTAATGAACAGTAATTTGGTAAATTTTAGAAAGAAAATTTATATACAGGTAACAAAGTATTATTATATAACAACAAAATATAAACATATATTTAACAATAATATTATTAAAAATACAATAAATAATATTCCCCTTAGACATTTGTGAAAAATTATCGAATGCCATTGAAGTTTAAATCCATCAAAAAAGAAATTCAATGGATAAAATGAGAGAAACTGTTCTTATCCAGAGATGAGGGTGACCTTGGATTCCATGTGGTTCACGAATTTAATATGGCGTTCTTGGCAAAACAATTAGGGAAAATTGACAAAATAAGTCTCAATTTTCGAAAATAAGCCAAAAAATTCTACAACTCACAAACACGCTATTTTAACCTTCAACTTCTAGTCAAACACGAATAAATCTTATACTTCTGTTGACCAAGCCATTTTAATCTCGTCAAAATTCAACCGTTTAGTTCCGTTAATTATATTTAACGGTTGACTAATGAGTCTAAAATGGCTTGGTCAACGAAAGTATGAGATTTTTTTTTTTAATTTAAAAATTGAAGATTAAAATTGTTCACTTAAAAATATCTTAACTAAAAATTTCTATTTTTGTTTTATTTTTTCAACAAAAATTATAGTTTATCATATCGATTAGAATGACAAACTTAATAAAATATGTTTAACTAAGCTTAGTTATAATATTTTTAAATGAATTAAAAACAAAAAATTGTTTAGTAAAAAAACTTGACTAAAAATACAGTTATATTGTAAATTCAGATACAAAAAATAAAATAATTAAGTGTTTATGTTAAAAAAAATTAAGAATAAAAACTTAAAAGTTAAAGATAAAACCCTAAACACATTGTTGTTAAAAGTATAATGACATATACTCAATAGAGGATGAAACAAGTGAAAATGAGGAAATCAAATGCGTGAAAGGGATTTCCGGCAACTGTTATATAGATTTTTTTTGTTTTTAATTCATTTTTAAATATTATATCTAAACTTATTTGAACATATTTTATTAAGTTAGTGACTACAATCGATATGAAAAATTATATTTTTTCTGTCAAAAAAAATATAATTTTTAGTTAAGACATTTTTAAGCAAAAATATTAATCTTTAATTTTTAAATTAGGACAAAAAAATCTCATACTTTCGTTGACCAAACCATTTTAGGCTCATTAAAAGTCAACCGTTAAATATAACTAACGGGACTAAACGGTTGAATTTTGACGAGATTAAAATGGCTTGGTCAACGAAAGTATGAGATTTATTCGTGTTTGACTAGAAGTTGAAGGTTAAAATGGCTTGTTTGTGAGTTGAAGATTTTTTTGACTTATTTTCGAAAGTTAAGGGTTATTTTGTCAATTTTCCAAAACAATTATCATGACTACTTTAGTTCTCAGGCTTTCTATTACTCAGGGTATTGAGTGGAAAGGCTTAGCTCGTCTTTGCTAATAAGTTCTATTGATAATCTCTTATATGTATGGACAATACTTTGAGCTGCAATACTTTTATTAACACGAAGAATTAGACATAAAATGCATTCAGTTTATGAGGTCAAATCATAGGAGGGCCTGTGGATTCCAATTACACTTGCGAGGCCAGCCATGCTCAAAGTTCTCCATTAGTTCATCCCAGGATTTGTTAGTGTTTTTAAAAAAGATGATTTCAAGGAATGGGATTTTGGACATGCTTGAAAACATTGTACACCCATAAGATATTCCTTTAATTAGGAGCTTGAAAATAAGTCGGACAAATCATAGAGATAGATATTGTGTAGACAAATACACTATTAAGTTAGGATATTGGTTTCGCTCGAAACATCCTAAACAAGAAACAAACGTAGTCTTTTCAAAACCCAAAATAACTAAGCTTCAAGTTTTCATTTACAAAGCTAATTAAAGATTGACCCACACGAGCGTATATATGTTAATTTTTTTCTTTTCTTTATAAATTAATATATTTTTTCATAATTAGTGTTATATATTTTATTTATATCATATAATTAATTGTAGAAGTATTTGAATCGAACCAAATCAAATTGGGTAATATGGTTATTTTTGGTTGTTTGATTATTTTTAGTTTGGATTTAAAACACCCAAGCCAAATCGGTTACTTTTGGTACAAATACTCAAACTGTTTCAGATACATTAGTTTTTGGATATTTTAAAATTTCTATATACCAAAACTGAATCCATCCGGACTTAAGATGACCTGACTCGAAACCCACCTGAAACTTTATAATATCCGAATAGATTTTAATTTCAAAACTCATAAATCCGATACCGAAAAGAAACAACTTATACATGAGTAGGCACTGGTATGTCTATGCCTAACTAATTTTGCAAACAAAAAAAAACTTTTTATTAACCATTGTAATTCTTGTCACAAATTGATCAATGTCATTTATGATTAATATGTAAATAAATGATGTCAAAATATTATAAGAAAGATAACTAATGAAGCAGTTAAAAGAGCGGGAAAGATATAATAACACAATTCAAAATACGCAAGTTCATGTCGAATTATTTAGACAAGACAATAAATGAAGTAATTAACATTAATTAAAATGAAAAGAAAATTCGTATGAAATCACTTAAAATAAGTAAGGAGAAAACAGTTATTAAAAACCTCCAACTCGTGTATGAGTCAAAAAAAATCTCCAACTTTGATATATTGGTAGTTTTAACTCTCATATTTTGTTGACTCGGTCATTTAAAAACCCAAATAATCAACTCTTAAACGCGATTATAAAAATAAATGTATATTAACTCTGTAAATGGTGTCGTTTTAAAAAATAAGTCAAACAACGTTGTTTTACTTCTTTAAACACTTAATGCATCTTTTTGCGAAACTAGAGTCCAAAATCGACTTCATCTTCCTGACTTGAAATGAGTAATATGAAGTCAATTTGAGATTTTGGTTTCACGAATAAGATGCTTTAGTGTTTACAAAAGCAAAACGATATTGTTTCATTAATGTTTAATCAGTTTTTAAAACAACATCATTTAAAAAATTAACAAATGTCTGTTTTTGTAATTGAATTTTACAGTTGAATGTTTGAACTTTTTAAATGGCCAAGTCAACAAAATAGAAGAGTTAAAATAGTCAATATTTAAAAATTAAGATTTTTTGGCTCAAACATGAAATAGAGGTTTTGGCATTAATTTAAAAGTTCATGGTTTTAATCAAGGGCAAAGCCACATTAACCATTATGGGTGCAAGTGCACCAGTATATTTTAGATATTAAGAATTTTAGAATGAACAAGTGAGAAGAAACTTGTTAAATTGGTTAAGGTGCACCCATAATTTCCTACCAACCAGACTTCAAAGCCTCACCTACAGCAATTTTGCACCCATTAAAAAAAAAAATCCTAGCTTTGCCTCTGGTTTAATACCCTTTTTCTCAATAAGTAAATATTTTTATGTACTTTAGTTTTAATAAAATACTAGATTTTGACCCGCGCTTGAAAAGCGCGGAAATTTTTTATGATTAAAAGTTTATATAATTGGGTTTTGTCTTAATTTAAAGAATGTTTTGGTATAAAATTAGTTTACCAAAATTTGTGGTGATAGTTGTTTTTCATTAGTTTTTAGTTTCAGTTTTTATTTTTAGATTTTATTTTAAATTTTGGTTTTTGGTTTTTAGTTTTTAAGTTTCTATTTTTGATTTTCAGCTTTTGGTTTTGGGTTTTTAATTTTTAGAACCGCTGAGTTAGTTTGAATTGATATTACCAACAAACAAATCTCAATTAATCGAACTTGTAATTTAAAACTGAAAAGATGACAAAATAATTTTCTAAAAATTTTGAAATAGTTTATTTTGTAAATAAAAAAAATATATATATAACCTGCGTTTTCAGCTTTTGGTTTTCGATTTTAGTTTTTAGATTTGATTTTTGGTTTTGCTTTACATTTTTTAAAAAATCTGTAAATTATTTAAGAAAAATAAAACAATAAGTTATTTAAAAGTTACCATTAAATTTATCAAGATAGAGTGATTGTTATTTAAAATAAAAAATATTAACATGTTTTAAAGTACATGATTTAAATAAGTGTTTAATAATAGATAATTTTTTTTTGTTGAAAATATTAAATATTTTTGGGCCTGAAAATAGTAATTGTTTTTTGATCCATTAAGGTGGAAAGTTTATTTAATTTTTTTTGGAGTTTTTATTTAATACTATGCTCAAAAACCCAAACAATTAAATGTCATAAAAACAAAAGTAAGCCCAAAACTCTATTTCATAAATAACCGTCGGTTTAATTTAAGTAATGCGGTTCAATCAACTATATAACTTGTATTATTTGTAACACTCTAGAAAGAGTTCAAATTTAAATGACAACTTGTATCAGTAGATAAAAAGAATGACTCTATTTTAATAGAATAGATATAGTACTCAGTAATACCTTCAATGTAGATATATCCTTGGCACAAGGTTCTTTGGTTGTTAACTTCGGTAGATACGATCTCATTCCCATTGCAACTTTGTCACTCTTTGCTCAGAACTAACAACAACAAAAAAAAC